AAAGTTAACTATAACCGAATAAAAGGAGCCGGCCAAGAGGCCACCTTAACACCAAAAAAAAAAATATATATATATATGCTAATATATAATTCAAATATTTAGATATTATGATGCTTCAATTGCTGAACTTAGAAAATATGTGAAAAATCTTAAAGATGAACAAAATGAAGAAATTTTACAAGATTTACTCCTGAAATCCAAAAAATCGTTGAAGTCAAAGACTCAATTGATACCCCAACTGTTGAAGACACGCCCTATAATCTCATTGCGAAAGAATTATCTAAACCAAAAACTATACCAAAGACTCAACCTAAGACTTAGCTGAAGATTGGTCTTATAATCTCATCATGCAAGAATTAAAATTAGAAATTGTTTTTTAGATATAAATAGTAAATTAGAAATTTCAAACACAGCATGTTGAATAGCATAATTCAAATCCCATTCAACATTAATGATATTTGACTAACAATAAAGCTTGCGTTATTAACTATTAACGAAAATGAAAATTATGTAAATAATAAAACCTAATGACGATTGATGAAGCACTAGGCTGTCATTATTTCTTTTCATAATAGAAATAAATTAATTTATGTAAAGTCGATTTTTATTATTCATTTCCAATTTTGATTTTTTTGGCACAGTTTTGATATTACCCGATAATTTGCATTACTCCCGATGTATTCGATAGGTCTGACGACGAAAATTAAAAATTAATTTTTCTATAAGCTTGTTAATTTTGGCAAGGTTAACTCTTTTGTAAACACAGGAAAAAGTTCGTGGTAATTAAAAATTATTATGGTTTGATTGAATAAAATTTTGAAAAAAATTTAAAATTCAGAATATTCAAAAGGTCATTATAAAGAAACTTGTTGAATGAAGAGCAATTGTATTTTTATATTTTATTGGCTATATTTTAATATCAAATACTATTGATAATAAAATGCATGCATCGGTTCATAAATACTTACACCCTGGTAGTTTAACACGTGAGTGAAAGAACAGAGAAATAATATTTTAATGTCAATTTCCATTGATGACAAAATGCGTGCATTGTTTTATAAATACTTACCCTCTTGTAGTTTGGCACGTGAATAGAACAGAGAAATAATATTTTAATGTCAAATACTACGTATAGGCGATTTGCTATTTCTACCATGGATATGTAAATCATAACCAGAATTAGTGTTGGGTCAGGGGTTAGATTTTATAACGTTAGTCATTTATGGTGGAAATAGCAAATTACCATGGTAATTCCCCTAAAAATATATGTACAGTACATCGCATTATAAATACTTACAAACTGGTAGTTTACAGTATCATATGAGTGAAAGAAAGGAGAAATAATATTATAGTAAATTAAATTATAATAAATTATTTAATGCCATAATACGTATATAATATCAAATTATTAAATTAGATATA